TATAGTGACACGTGTCGTACACGGTTAAGTTGGCCTTGACCCAATCTAACGATATACCAAGTTTCATTTAAATCGGACGATTTTTTCACTACTGATAAATGTTACATAGTGCACAACACGTCGCACATTGGCCCAATTTAATCAAATGACGGCATAAATAGAAATATTTACTTTTAACAATTGGTCACAAAAATGTCAGTGCTGATACTCTATTATTCCAGCAGTCTAGTAACCCATGATTTTGACACAACAGCAAGTTTTAACCTTGTAGCAACGATATATAGAATAAGGATATTCGACTGGCCCAAAAAAAACGTGCCGTATTTTGTCGAGGAAGACGATTTCGTCACGACCAATGGGCGTCGAGTATTTGAAATTGAAAACATATAAATTGACGGCAACCTATGTTTTTTGACTCATTTCACTGACAAATGTGATGAGATTGTTATTGTAATTTATAGATCCAAAATCCAAACGTTTTTTGAATAAATAATTTATTTTAAAGTTATTTCCTAGAGGTGAATTAGTAAAAAATACACAAAAAGCATGTTCTTTGTGTTCTCTCCTTACTTCTAATATCACATATTTTTTTTCTATATTATGTAATGTATTTCTATATAGTATCCACCAAAAAAGGTTGCCCGAAGTTGCCCGCAATAAAAGTATACAGTGCAATCTAAAAGTCGTAGATTAGACTAAGTTAAGCCAACTTTGGTAGTGATTAAAATTTTTATTTTTTTTTATTTTAGGATTTTTTTTTACAATAGAGATGGCAATAAAACGTGCAAGAAAGATTCGAGTTCTAAATTTTAATCATCAGATAAACATTTTTCTAAACCTCCTCAATATTTTCTTATTAGCGGAGCATGATAAATGTAAAAATTAGAGGGGATATTTACATACATTTAAAATTTCTTTCTTTGGACAAAAGGGTATTAATTTTTCCTGTTAAATGTAAAACCGTTAAAATATTTGCAACATCATTTTATAAATTTATTTTTCGGTATTACCATTTTGTGGTTGTGTTAAATGTTAAACTATTAAAACTAGAATTAGTAATATCATACAAATTTAAAGACCTAAAAAAGTGGGGATTTTGTCCCCATGTCATACCCTAGCATATGCCACTGTTTCTTCGTCAGAGAAATAATCTATAATTAAAATGTTGCCCATTTCTTTCATATAATAAACGGTATTCTGAATAGTCTAGGTTACCCCGGTGTAATAGAGTTTCTGTTAAATATGAAACTAAAACTAATTCAGTTTTTATATTTAGGTAAATTATATTGATATTTTAAATTTTTAATAAAACAAAACGCGTAACTCTAATTATGCAATGATTTAAATCAAATCGACCAGTGTGCGTCGTCAAAATATTATGAAAAGATATACATACATTCCGAGTTTCAGCCCCTCTGCTCATATAGGACCCGAGTTACGAGGCTCCAAAGACTCATCTCTACTTCCTCATTAACTTACCACTTACCGCTTTTTCGATCGTTACCACTTTTCGTCTCGTCTCGCGTGTCTTCTCGCTAGCTCATGTATGACGGCCTTGAATTTTTACTCCAAGCGCGCGTAAAGAATTTTCACTTCAAAAACAATTATTACATTTAAAAATGATCCTGTTAATGGAACATAACTAATTCCGAACGACACCTAATCGCACCGATCGCAACTAAACCGTATTGTGTCACTTATTGAATTGCCGTATTGTATAATTTACCAATCCAACCATATCTGATATAATTCCATAAACAATCCACAATTTCCGTTCTGTCAATTTCAATCAATTACCAGGATTCATATTTAAAGTCCTCGCTTGCATTTCCATATAAATGGTAAAATAATACCGAGTCCGGCAGCCACAGAATGTGTTTAAAATTTTATGACAATTTTGCGTTTATAACTGTAGCGAATAAAAACGGAAAGGGCTATTTTTAAAATACGTTATCCCTTTTTATCTGTAATAATTAATATTTAATCTTTTTATTAATTTACGGCAATGTCCTGTTGTGGTTATCTTGATTCCTGATTTTTTGTTCAATCATGGGACTTTTATGTGGTAAGTAATAAAAAGTTTTTATTTAACCGGGATTTATTTTTTTCATGCTATTTTTACGACAAAAAACAATAGCCTTAGCAAGTGTATATCAAAAATACTGTCAACACTTGATTACTGTGTATGTAAATAAGTTTAAATAAAACAGTCGTATATTCAAATACAAGTTGTTAACTGAACAGTTACTTATAGGGGAACAGAATGGCAACACTGCCTATTGAGAACTCATGCACTTATAGGGTTTTCTGCCGACTCGTCCCGTCGCGTCGCGTCGCGTCGTCTATCGACGAGCGGGCCGAGGTTGCCATATTTCAATCAGAAAGCTCTTGCTGCGAGTAATAAATAAACTAACAACCTGTATATAGAATAAAAATGTATCATTTGTACACAAGCTATACGAAGATTTAGTGGAATTAGGAAAAGCAGCGCAATCAGACATGATAATCCTGCTTTCTGCAAAAAGATATATGTATAAACGCCGGCATTTTAAGAAATAGAAGAAATTTTTACAAAAAGGCTATATATTTTCAGTCGCATTGCAAAAAGCCTAATCAGAATAATCAGGCATATTAAACAATGACGATATTTACTGTACACTTCTGCAAAAGTCTGCTTGTTTTCAGTCATTTTTCAAAATGCCAAATCGAGGAATCAATCAGATCAAAAAATTATCAAAATTTGGTCAGCTATGAGCATCTTGAATAATGGCTTTATTAAAAATACCGCTAGGTCATCTTATACTATAGAAAATATTATCTTAAGTAAAAATTTTATTTTGTCTAGACGGAAATAACTTTAACCTTAATTCATAAATGATAATTATAAGTAACATAAATTTTAATATAAAATATATTAAAGACTTAATATTAGTACTCATTTAGTTATATTGTGTAATTGGATTCTGGTGTTCAGGGCGACTTCTTTGTGGAACTTTTAGACCTTCTTTGCTGTCTTTTAGAACAAAATGAATTTAGTTCTTTAAATAATAGTCCGTGACCACAATCTCATGAACAGAATTATCAAATCCTAAACATTTCGTAATTTTGAAAAAAATTGGTCAAGTGCGAGTCGGACTCGCACTCGAAGGGTTCTGTACCATTCATTATCTATACAACATTAGACACTGTATTATTATAAACTTTTTTTCCGATTTAGCTGTAATTTTGAATGCGCGTATAGGTTAAAATTTAAAAAAAAAATGAAGAAACACATTACTAAAAATTGTATTAATCAATAATAAATATGTAAAAAGTAAAAATAAATATGTAAAGGATTCGAACCTGCCTTACTACGGCTCCAACGTCATAGCAGCGTAAAGTCCTAACGCTTTAAACCACGCGGCCACCGAGGACTTGAAAGATTCTATGTAAAATTCTTACTTAAAAGATAATGTTTAGTGAAAGTACTTTTTTATTTATAAACATTTATTTAATTCTGTTTTTAGTATTTGTTCTTATAGCGGCAAAATAGATACATTATCTTTAAAAATTTTAACTTTCTAGTTATAACGGTTCATAGGATAGACCTTTGTGACGGCGAAGTCTTTGGATAAATTTAGGTTAGGTGTTTAGGTTATTATGGCCTTGGATAAATTTAGGTTAGATATACGAATCTCGCGTAAAATGTTTTGTGCAATCGTACTAATCTTCATTAGGCATTCTGAAGATTGACTGAAAGCAAACGGTTTTTTTGCAGAAATGTTTACAGTAAATATCATCATTGTTTAGTACTGGTTAGGCATTTTGCAAAGCTACTGAAAACAGACAGACTCTTTGTAGAAATTTCTTCTTTTGTTTGAAACGCCGGCGGCGTTTTATAATATGCCTAGTCTTTTTGCAAAATGCCGAATTATTTGATACGCTTGCGATATTGCCATTAGCCAAGAGATATAGAGAGCTAGAGCATGGTGTCAAGAACGGGCTCACTGGAATCACGAGTGGGGTCGGGTTGTTTTCAGTGATGATTCGTTTTTTTTTGTCTGTGGGCCCACCGGTGGTCGTAGAAGAGTCCGCCTCAGATATTGAGAATGGTGCCAGCTTTAATTTTGCATGGATCGTTAGACTGCCCTTACTAGGGCGTTATGGTTTGGAGTGCCATAATAGTTGGAAGCAGATACCTGAAAGCGTAAGTGAAGAATCTGGAAGACTTCATCCGTAAACCTGGAATGGGTGTCCTCCAACGGTCTAAGATACTGGAAGAAGTTCTCCAGAACTTACGACCGAGAAAAATCAAAGGTTTTCCTTGATTTAAATAAAAAGAATCTTCGGATTGTCACGGGGTTTCTAACAGGACACTGTGTCCTCAAGGAACATCTTAGTAGGCCGAAGCTGAGAAACAACGGCAAATGCAGAGTCTACACAGGAACACCTTATCACTGAGTGCGCTAAGACGACGACCGTGCTATGCACTTTGGTACGGCTGATGTCGAGGATGGAGAGCTGGCTTCTGTGGAGCCGTCTCAGATACTGGCTTTTGTTAAAGACCTTTATGATGAGTTATAACTCGTTACAACTCAAGAAAGGGGAACACACAATAGATCTGTAAGGTCGCGGTGATGAACTCCCCTCCCAGACATTCTACGGTCTACATTGTAGATGCTTTTTATAGTGAAAATTATTATTACTAGCATGAAACCAAATGAATGTTTTTAAATACACATATTCAATAATTAAACTAGAAAACCTCCAGATTATATCTATTTATCTTTCGTCTCGTTTTTAGGTTATTAGTTATCTCGATTAGAGAAACTTAAATATTGCCAAAAATTCGTAATATTCTTTAAATTTTACATTCATATAATTTCTAAAACAAATTAAATCATTGTTGATCGCTCCATATTAATATATCTACTTTTCTAGATATTCTGGGAGAACAGGATTTAACTTCTAGTTACCAAAATAAATCCCATGTTATTAAAAAGGAAACTGGAGAAATATCTGCTATAAATTACTACTCAAAAAACGATGACACGAAAAACAATGCTTCACTGCCCGTTGGCGATATTAAATTTGGGGAATCCGCAAAAATAGAAACGGAAAGGAAAAAAGTAAATAAAACGAGGAAACCAGTAAAGCTTTCGGGCAGGCAAGGTTTTATTATGAATCAAATTTTGGGAACATATGCCCTCAGCGAAACCAATAATTCAGTGTGCAGGGCACACGTTAACGAGTTTAAGATTGGATTGCGAGCATTCGAACCTTGGGCTTTAAAAAGTAAGTCGTATTCTTCTCCTCTAATTGTTTTATTTTATAGTGATTTTTGACAAAATTAAATTAGGCTTTCATATAATATATTTAAACTAACATATTATATTTATCTCCTTTTTCTTAAAGTATCTTGCTCTACCTAACCTAACCTAAACGTAGAATAGGCAGTATTTTTGATGTTTATCATCAGTTTTTGACAAGAACACAGAACCTATATTTTATCGCAGAATCCGCATGGCATTATTTGAAACATTATTAAATTATTATTTACTATTTGGGCGGTTGTATTATGCAAAAAGGTGATTTATAACTACTGTTGGATACTTTTTTTCGATAAACCAAAAGGTTAATAGGCTTTTTTTATTTTCTAATTAAAAAAAGGCGTCCATTATTTTCATAGAGGCCCTTTATTAAGTTAAAAACAGAAGAAAAATAACTCAAAGTCTCGGTCTCAACATTTATATTAACTTAAACTGTGACACGTGTTTCGTTCATACGATCTATAATCAGACAGATCTGACAAATTTTTTCGATAAAAATTCGACTTCTTTTCTTATTTGATTTAGCGCTTAAATGCAGGGTGGTCCGGACTGTATTCCGGAAACTTTCGGACTGTATTCGGCAGCATATTCTGCACATTAAAATAAGTAAAAAAGTTTGTATAAATGTGTGTCCTAAAATGCTTAGTTTCCGAGCTACAGGCTGTTGAAGTTTTACTTTTATTTCGATTTTTTCCAAATAATTTCTGAAGTAACATCAATATTTGGGTGAAAATTGCTGTCTGGTAGTTTTTTGACATGAGAAATTTTATTTTAATGTCAATATGACTCCGATTTGTAGGGGGCGCCACTATATGTGTTTTAACTATTTTGAAGAGTAATAACTTTTTGTCCGTACGTGCATAAAACTACTGAGCGAAAAAACATCTCCATCTCCGTGACTTTTTACATAAAAAACGTCTTTTATCTTATCTATAAAAATACCTACTATCGTATTTACCAAAATGTTATTACATTTCTCATCCAATTCTCTTTGGTTCAAAACCTAAACCTCAAAACCTCGCTTAATCTATCTAATTCTTTAATTTTTATAAAGTTAAAAACTCCTCATTTAAATGTTTGTCCTGGATTTGAATGAGACTTGCATATATAGAGTGTTTCAGTGTTCGATTCGTCTTCAAAACTAATGGCCGGAATTCTTGCTGGTAACTTAGCTGAGCTGGGCGCTTTTAAGCAGTGCCTTAATATTAATAAAGAAACACCGAGCGGAGTGGTCAGAGGACGTCACTGTACGTTTAGAATCGTTCCCACCGATAGACTTATGCAGATCGTGTTAAGTTACAAAAATATCTCCAAGAAGGTAAGGTCATAAAAATAAATTATTACGTGTAGTATTTTAGTCTTTTATTTATAAAAAAAACATAGAGTTCGGCTTTGATGTCTATAGAGTTCGAAATCTTCTCGATTTCCAGATATACAGGGTGAGTCTTAATTAAGTGCAAATATTTTTAGAGATATTATATTTCGACCCCAGAAACACGATTTTGAGTTTTGTTTTTCTCAAAAAAAATGAAACTTTGGAATTTTTTGAAAAAAATTTAGGATTTTTTTAGTTTTTAGTTAAAAAGCATAATTTATTGATAATATGGCCACATAGATAGTAGATTAAATTTACAAGAAAGGAAAACCAGAAAAGATCCATAGGTTCCCAAAATTTAAGCAAAAAACCTTTTTTGGAAATTTTAAAAAAAATTTAGTTATTTTGGACTTTTTTTTTTGAAAAACGGTAAAGAGAAGATATGCTTTTTTATCGTGATCTACCGACCCTGAAAATATTTGCACTTCTTTAAGACTCACTCTGTGAGGGTTGGATTCATGACGATGCCGATGGTACGTTAGACGTTTATGGAGAACTTGTATTGAAAATTTGTTTTTTTTTCACCTGCTCCATCTATCTAAAATATCAGTGTTACAGTGTTGCCGGATCATTTGAAAAGTGGTAGCATCTTTCTTATTTTAAATAGTACACCCGCTATATTATTACATTTTCAGAAACTACTTTCATATTTCATAATTTTTCTATTATACTAACCTATATTTAATAGTTTCGAGATAAAATAATAAAATATGTGTAAAATTGACAAGAACATGATCTTGAAAAGGCATTGGTAAAATAATAAATTTATCATTTTAAAAGTTGAAATTGAGATTGTAAGTTATATTACATCTGTCTAAACCAATTGATTGGAATATTACACAGGAAGAGGAAACATTTATTTATTTCCGTTTGTTATAAAAATTGCTCAAATATTTGTTATTTTTAAAACTAATAAAATAGTTTTTTAACGATATATCATGTTTCCATACCTGAACCTTCCGGTTTCTTAAGTTTCTTAAGTCTATAAGTAGTCTACATTCTATTCTACTTCAAAGTCTTATGTCGAAATTTGCATTACCATGATAATCTAGCAAATAAAGATACACAAACGGATTTGGAATGGGTTTTGAACAGATTATAGAATTAAATTCTTAATTTAATTTTCAATTAGTATTCTATAATAGGTTAGATACATTTTTGATATAAATTTCTAATTGTATATTTTATTTAGGAATTTTATTAGGATTTATTTAGAAAATATTGAATTTATTTATTTTTTAATGAATACGAAATAACCTTTGCTGTATTTAAAAAAGTTTTAAATCATTTTCAGGGGTATCCACATACTCAATATCATTGCCCTCCTTGTCACTGATGATATTTAGTAAAAAAAATGTAAGGCTAATAAATATGATAAATACCAAATACAACTTGAGTAATCAAGCAAATTAAAAACTGAAAATAGCTAATGAAATAAAAGAAAACAATAATCAGCTGACGCACAGTCTTAATATGCAGGTCAGTTCTTTTGATTCTTGCTTTTAGGCTGGTATAGAAATCACCGTTCCAAATAAGGTTCATGTGCGATTACAATTCTTGTTGGGACGCATTTAGTCTACTGCACATAAGCATAGCCGTCCCAAGTAAGGTTCTCTGCTATGTTGGAAAAAACCTAATATATAATAAGTTCAAAATTCAGTCAAACATACGTGAGATATTTTTCAAAAATGATCTACTGTAATCTAATTATAATACAGTTACATTACGCTTCTAAATTAACATGACGAACTGAATTATTTTATATTTATTTATTTATTGATTTATTATAATTATATTTAAATAAATATTAATAATATATAATCCAATATCAGTTGAATGTACATAATTATAATGAATTGAGTTAATAATTTTGTATTTGATAAAATATAAATTTAGGAACAGAATACCATTGAAGTCATACCTACTTCTTTAAAAATATGTATATGTTATAGTAAAATTCGGAAATTCAGTGATTGTTAACATTCACTAGGAAATGCTAGCAATTACGGATTGGACCAGTGAATGTGGTATTTAAAAGCATTTGTCGACTTTTGCTAGTAATTTCTAACATTCACTAGTGCACATTTACTGGTTGCTAAGGTTGCCAGTAAAATCTATTCTATTGTACAGGGCGAGTGTGGCGAAGAAGAATGTTGGTGGAAGTTAGAACAAATAAAACTTTTATGAATATTGGATCACCTCAATATTCAAGCTGATCCACATATCTTAAAATTACAGTTTACCTCTTTGGTATATTTATGAAAACTTATAGAAAATAACGACATAACCTTCTAAATATTAAAAGGGAAATCATAGTAAACATTTTAAAGCGAACAAAACAATTAAAAAATACATTCATAAACGTAAGTTTACTTATTGGTATAAGGTTTCTTTTAATAAACTTCTTTATCGCGGACAAAGTAAACTCGCTACTTCAAGCATATCAACATGTTTAAATAAATTCATAATCACTAGGTTCCTTCATATATTTTTCTCTTGCACGCTTATCTTTTGCTATGACTTCATTTTATTGCAAAAATGAAAAACAAGCACTATTTCATTCTTGCGAGTGCTCCGTTTACCTTATTTTTTCACAGAAAATGTCTTCCATAGGGAAAATACCGCACAGCACTTTTTACAACGATAACAAAACAATTATACATCGTTGCCAAACGTTGCCAACGTTTAGCCCAATTCAATGTTATCCTTATATTGCCTATTACTCAACTTATCCTGCAACTTATGTTGCAACCGCGCTAACTGAATGTTGCAAACTCACGTTGCTATTGTCCAGGGAATGGTAGCATTCACTAGTAAAAGTTGATTTCAAAAATAGCTGTTGAACTTTTACTGGCGTAGACTTAGGCAAATTAGTGACTGTGAGCTTTTACTAATTAAATTAACAATCACTGATTTCCAATTTTTACTGTAAGTTAGATTCAAAATGTTATATGCAATTGGATAGAAAAATGACACTCGCTTGACAATGAACTATATTTTTTTACAAAAGTGGTATGTATTATTTCATAACCATTCTAAATGGCATCGAAATTGAACAATAGAAAATTAATATAATATTTTTAATTTTATATAATCAATGTTGAGGAATTATTTGAACAATTTAATTTTAATTGATGTTTAACATTTATAATCCAGCTTTATTCCAGAACGATACGCATTAATGTTCTAAAGTGTTCAATATTATTTGCAATATTTGGTCTACCAGATAAATAAAGCAATATCTAACTAACTGCATGATTTCGCAAAATCTGCTTTGAATTAGTATTGTAGTGGATGAATGCAATATTAATTAAATTGGGTGTTATACTGTAGTTTGTATCATATTGTAGAATTGATCTAGAAAATGCTCGGATTCCAAATATACCATTGGCAAAAATCGGCTTCGGGTGTTTATTTTATTTTATACGAAAGCTGTAATTAATTTACAGTTGAACTAACCAGGAAGAGAAGAGCATGTCTGTTCCAAACGCGTGGAATAAAAACTGGCATTATATTAATTATATTAAAAATGCTAACCCAAAACTAAGTAGCTACACGATGTGATGCCACACTTTTGAGATGACATTAGGGGTTCCCCAGTAGTAATAGAGCGACCCACTCTTGGGTGAAAAATGCGGGTGAAAAATACCAACCTCTCTGATTTAAATTAATATAACTTTGACAGGTTTATTACTACCAGTTTATTAACTAACTCGCATTGTATGTACCTACTTGTGAGGTTACTTTCAACAAATTGCATGTGCTTCTACATGTTTTAATGCGGTTTTTATCATTTTAGGCTAGTTATTTATGTTACCGCTTTCTGCTCTTTTCTCAAACTAAATTATTTTTCATTTTTGTATTATAATCCCACACAAACAATCAGGAATGTGGAGTAATATACAGGGTCCGGCAATAGCACGTCGGGCAAAAGTAGCTTCTCGAATAAAGAACTCTGGAACTGTGTTTAAATGTAAAAAGTATGTACTAGGATGTATTTCATGGGATGCTTTTGTTTAAATGGAATACCCTGTGTATTATTGCATTTTTGGCGTTCTTTCTGATCACTTTACATGATCCTAAGATATGAGTAAATATTATATTTCAATAGTTTCAAAGATTAAATTATATTAATAAATAAATAAAATATATATAGTTATCAGCCTTTCTTGAAAAAAGTTATTAAAAATACAAGAACTGTCCCTACTATGTTAGGAATTTACTTAGATGGTCTATACTTACTTTGCTATAAATATCGTAATCATAAATCATACAGGATTTTCAGAATTCTACGTGAAATTTTCTAAAATATAAAATAATTTTTTGATATTTGTTTTAATGGAATACCCTGTAGATTATTATTTTATTAGATGCAGAATTCAAAAATGAACATTTCGTCCCATTGCTGCCAAAAGTCACTAACTTACTTTTTGTTACTTCCGAGAAAACGCGTCTAAAGATGAATTGCATTGCATAAAGATGTTATAGTTAGTAACTATTCGGTATCAAGATAAAACATAAATAGCCAGAAATCGTAGCTAATGACTTTTTCAATTGATTCTCCGCTTCAAAATATAGTTAGTGATTGAATTTTTGGTTGTTCGGAAAATGTTAGTTAGTGACTTTTGGCAGCAATAGGACGATTTTATGTATTTAAAGTATTTCAAAATTTTTAACGGTTTCGCAGGGACCTACGGTATTACTTCGTATTGTTGTTTCAAAGGTAAAATACGAGAGAAAAATCATTGTGTGGCTTTGATAAAATTTTAATGTGGAAAATGCCATATGAAATATAAAACCGCGAATATCTGCAAACCCGTCAAAAATTCCGAAATACTCTAAATGTAAAAAATGTTCATTTTTAAAATCTCCATCTAAAAAAGCATATACAGGGTGTTTGGTTTATGTTTGGTCTCTCTCTTCTTAATATCAAAATTTTTCTTATCGAGAAATACAAAACCGCTCAGAGCAATTCATACAACCGCTAAGTTCACAACCGTCTTTTAAAAAGAACTTAATTAAAGTCTTTAATTTTAAAGTTTTATTAAAACTGCGGCAACATTTTTTAACTCCTTTCCTGGAAAATATTTACAAAATTAAATTAAACAGATTAACGTTTAACAAGTTTTTAGATGAATTCCTAAAGAACTTAATATTTTTTCTTATTTTCTGTACCATAAAATAACGTGTTGAATATTATATTCTGGTCATTGTGTTATCTACCTAATGTAAAGGCAAATAATTTTTATTTTAGAAATTTAAGTTGTTGAAGGAGAATGTTTTGGATGGATCGGCGCTATATTGGTCAGTTTGCGTACCAGATTCATGTAATTCAGATGACGTTTTAAGACACTATAAGAAAATAATTTTGGATTTGACCGAGGGCCTAAATTTAACAATTGTGTTGAATGACTATCATTGCTATTCTGAAGGTGATTTACCAGGGTTTACCTTAGGCGATTATATTTATGTGTAAGTATGTGTTATTGTGACTATAATATAATAATATTTGTTTTAAGTCTGCTTAGATTTATTATGTAGAGATTTAAATCAACTGTAAAAAGATAATGTAGTTAATACCAATTAAAGTTTTTGTCACGTGAATACTTACTTTTACATATATTTTCTTTTAATCAAAATAATTTAGGAAACAAAAATAAATTAATTATAAAAATACAGGCTTTCGCTTCTCATACGACACGGAAGCTCCAAGGAGAACAACATTTGTTTTGAGTTCTACAGGGTATCCCCAAAAAAAGTTACACATCAAAGTTGTGTTTTTTGTAATGGAATACTCTATATATTAATTTATTTTCGGATTCTATGAGAAAAATAAAAGTGAGTTTTATTACAGAAGTATATGACTAAAATGTAAGGTTTTTGAGTTATCTAACATTTTCTAAAAATGAAGAAAAAAATTTAATTTCCCGTAAAAGCTACCTAATTTGGAATTTACCCGGTATAACCTAATACGTAGTAAAAATAACTATTGCACTTAAAATCGAATTAAAAGCAAGTTACTCTTTTATTTTAAATGAAGCACTCAGTATATTTTCCCATATTTAATGGGGAACTAATATCTTTTCAAAATACTATTAAGGTTGCATAACCCTCGAACAAAGATTTTCCTAGATATTTTCATTTTTATGACTTAGTGTTAATAGATCTTGATTATTTGATAAAATTTAGGTGGCTGTGATATGTCTGGCGTTAGTTCAACATAGCTGTCTCATTAGTGCAACTTTAACAACTAGTTATCATTTTGTCTCAGTTTAAACAAAAAGAATTCTCAAAAATTTGCTGAAAATGGCAACTTATCCTAAATCAGAGAGGTGATATGATTTTATTAATTGGTGAATGCAGTGTGCATTCACCAATTAATGGAATACTTAAATACTCCTGATTTTATCTAGTCCGGGCTTTTCATGGGGATATGTTAATGACAGTGTTTACACACTCGACCAACTATTGTCGACAACATGAGAGAAATAATTGTGGCTCTTTTTTGACGTAGAACTCCACGTATGCCTTTTGACATGAAAATATCTTTTGAATGAAAATAACAGGAAAGGAAGTATTTTGAGCATTTGATTTCATCTAGCTAATGTTTGTCACATAATTATACGTATATATCTAGTTTTAATTCTGCGATATAATGTTTTAAATCTGTATCTTTTTATTACAGTAATTTATTCCACGTCCTTTTATTTTTGTTAAATCAACAAAAGGTAATTCTTAGCCACCTAGATTTTGTAAAAAGGTCTACTAACGCATTAAGGCATCCTTAATAATATTTTGAAGATATATGAATTCTCCACCTAGTATATGTGTTCCATTTACACCTAGTATATGTGTTCCATTTAAAATAAAGGAGTAAAGCTTGATTTTCATGCATTCGTTATACGTTGGTTCGACGGTGCTCTGATTGGTCATAGCGTTTTCGCGCCACTTTTCATCCGTAAATATTTTACTTTAGCCCGTCAACGGACCCGTTCATACGATAACGGACGTTTTGACACTTTTTTGAAAAATTTAATCTAACCTTAATAAAAATATAAGTAAAATAGCAAAATCGTTATGGAAACGAAAATATAAAATAACACCAACGTATATCCGATAAACGCAGGCATGAAAATGCAATAAATTTAAAAACTGCGTTATTTTCTAACCAATCAAAGTCTTTAAATTCTACCAATAAAATTAATATCGTATCAACGTATCGTCGGACAACGGATGCATAAAAATCAAGCTTAACTTGCTTTTTAAAATTGACCAACTTTCAGTATTAGTTTTGTCTCACCTTGTGTAACTTTTCTCGTCAAATTTTAATTTAATTTAACACACAATGGCTTATTTGTAATACAGGGTAAATTACAATTTAGGTAGCTGTTATTAAAATTTAAAGTGTATTCTTCGTTTTCAGAAAATGTAAATATGCCAAAATCATTACGTATTATGCATATGCTTCTTTAATAAAATTCACCTTTATTTTTTTCCTAGAATCCGAAAATCAATTAATATCTAAGGTGTTACAAACCATTACAAAAAAAGACAACTTTAATGTGTAACTTTTTTGAAGAGTCTCTGTATAACTATTTTTTTTTATAAAATGCTGTCAATTAACTTACATAAGCATATGTAATTTTGGGAGCACCCAAAATTTGTCAATTGGATATAAACTACCGTTCTCCTTGGAGCCTCCGCGTCATACGAGTGGCTCAACTCTGTACATACATATAAATAGGTATTATTTACATCAACAAAACTCACCTCCTTAACTAACTAAGGACATAAAGAATACATTTTATTACGGCATTCCCGTTCAAAATATTCTCATAAGGTTGCAATGAGTTTTTGCATGGCTATTATTATGCTATCTTATATATAGTATACTTGGAACTAAGAGTGGTTTTAAACAGAACAGTGTTTTACTGCAAGATTTGCTAGATATGTCCATTTTTGGCCACAATGAATTTAAAAATCGCGCCCTCGATTACGTAACTAAAAGTTTAATTGGTATCGCTTATAAGTATGCAACAATAAATTAAAAACTGTATGCAATATTGCATAAATATCAATATTTAGTAAAATGGTTTAAAATGAATTAATATAATTTATTTTTTAATTAAAGTTATATGATTATGTAAGTTAAATATTGGAAAGCTGAAGTTCAACATTTCAATTTCCATTTCAGTTTATGCGTAGGATTAGTGTTAATTACATCCGTAATTTGCACCGTTATGGATATTGTACAAGAAGGTAATTCGGCGGTTCGAATACTAAATAAAACTAAGTACAACATAAAGTTTTACGAGATGGTTTTAGGCCAAACTTCCAAGACGGTTAATTTGTTTTCCTTGAGGACGAACGCAAATATTTTATTTTCCACGTCTCGTAGCAACAACGATATCGCTTGTTTGGATGGAATTCGATTTCTAAATATTATGTACATTATAATCGGACATCGATATGTCTCTAATATGGCTACTCCGCTTATCAACTCGCTGGATCTTGTAGAGGTCAGTAAAAATATTTAGATAAAACTGTTGCTTTATATTGGTTTAAATATACTGTTTTTTGATGATTTTTTTAATTAATACGGTTCGGTACTTTCAATGTTCGTATGTACGCCAATAATTTTAATTAAAATATGAAGTGTCAATCATAATATAAAAAATTATGACAAAAACATATCAATGTCGCGCGTCGCTTATATGTCTACTCCGTTTAACAACTCTCTAGATCTTGCAAATGTGAGTGAATAATATTCAGCCTCAACTGTTGCTTCATATTGATTGAGATAACCTTTTTTTAACGATTTTTAAATATTTTCAATTAAAATATAAAGATTCGATAATAGTTTGAAAAATGATGAAGATAACACCGGCCATTAAAATACTATACGTATATAAAAAAATTATGGTTCGTAATAAAATGTTTCGTTTAAGTCAAATGTGTTTCATATTCAACGTTTCGATCTTTATTCGATCTTTATCAAAACCTTTTAAAGATAAACAAACAAACATAGACTGACACATTAATATATTTCTTTGTTTCTTTCTAGAACTAAAGAAATATATTAATGTGTCAGTCTATATGTTTGTTTGATATTAAATAGATGTAGTAATGTGACTATTACTGTGTTAAAATGTAAATGTATAATTTTGTTTTTGTGACGTCCAAGATTATATCAAAAAGGTTTTGATAAAGATCAAAATGTTGACTATGATAATGTGTTTTACTTAAAAAATAAAAATAAACATTTTGTATGAACCATTATCCCAAGAAACAATTTAAAAAAGTATATCTATTGTCCGAAAATGATTTAATCCTAAATGAAATACAGCTCTTTTTTCGAACTGTATTCCGGAAACTTCGGTAGCATATTCTGCAGATAAAAATAAGTAAAAAAGTTCGTATAAATGTATGTCCTGAAATACTTAGTTTCGAGATACAAGTTTCATTTTTATTTCGACTTTTTCTAAACAATTTGAAGTAACGTCAATATTTGAACGAAAATTGGTGTCTGAGTTTTTTCGTGACACGAGAAATTTGATTTTGATGTCAAAATGACTCCTATTTGTAGGGGGCGCCACCTACATGCGTTTTGGCTGTTTTGAAGAGTAATAACTTTTCATCCGTACGTGTATAAAACTATTGACTAAAAAAAATATTTATTTCCATGACTTCTTACGTAAAAAATGTCTCGTAAAAATCGCCACGAGCAACCTTTCTCAAGATATTTAGAATGGAAATAGTCAATACATGTCATTATTGACAAAAAATAAGCATGCTGAATATAGCTATTTGACTGAAATAATACATTTATATTTTTAAATTACTTATATTTTTTTCGGTGAAAAAATGATGATTAAACAGTTTCTGTTGAACTTTTGGCAAAAAAAAATTTCAAATTTATGATATTATCCTAATAACTATTTAGTCAACATGTTTAATTTATGTCAATGAAGACTGGTATTGATCATTTCAATTCCAAATATCTCGAGAACCATTACTCGTAGCGATTTTTACCAAGAGACCTTTTTTATGTAAAAAAAGTTGTAAATGTATATTTTTTTACTCAGTGGTTTTATACAGGTATGGAGGAAAAGTTATTATTCTTCAAACCAGTTAAAACATATGTAGGTGACGTCCTCTACAAGTAGGAGTCATATTGACATGAAAATCCAAATTTCTCATGTCAAAAAACTCCCAGACACCAATTTTCATCCAAATATTGACGTTACTTCATAAATTATTTGGAAAAAATCGAAATAAAAATAAAACTTCTACACCTTGTATCTCCGAAACTAAGCATTTTAGGACATAGATTTATACGAACTTTTTAAATTTTAGTCTGCAGAATATACTGCCGAAGTTTCCGGAATACAGTTCGGACCACCCTGTATTTTTAGCAAATGCTCTAAATTAACCCAGAAGTGCTCTAAACATTTTATTTTCATACAAACTTCTCGAGGTTCTCCTTGAATCTTCTGCAGAGTATGAGATGCACCACCCTGTATATTAAACTTATTTTCTAAACGTTTTAGTAAGTTTATTTATTATTTAAATTTCGTTTTTTTAATTCTTCAATTTTCTTCTAATTTTCTTGTTAATGCCTAAAGAAACTATAGAACGAGTTAGTATAAGAAGGTAATTAATGTTTTATATTTATTTTTAGACGTATTTTAAAGGCTTTATTTATAAAAGTTTTTCCAATTTAGAAGTATCGGATTGACGTAATTTGTAATTTGAAAATGTGTTTTCCACGGATTTAACTGAATTAAATAGTCTGCGATCACGTCAATTATTCGATGTTATTTGCATATATGTTTTAATTGTGATACTTCTAATTAAAAATTGCACAACAAAAGTTTCCATTTTTCAAAAAAAAAATGAATTTGTCATAAGGGATTTTGAGTCAATGATAAATTATTATTCATTCTATTATTTATTCATTTTCAATCATAAATTATTAATATATAAAAGCAAATACCTAATATATTTTTGATTTTAGGACAGTTTGGTTTGGTTGCAGTATTATACAGGGTGCTACAAATTCGAGGTACGAGCATTGGTATCTCAGTAACTTAGTAACTGTGCGCTTTGGTATGTTCACCAAGATGCCATCAAAAAAGTTTTAAAAATTTCAAGAATTGCCGAGTTTTTTGGAAAAAAACGGATATTTTTGAAAATAAATTTTATTTTTTCCTGTCGTTACTTTTTAGAAAATCAATAAACTAATTGCATATTCTCATAGCCACTTTTCTAGGGCTATCTGATAGTAGTTTTAGATTTTCAAATTAGCTGATAATTTGTGAGATACAGAGGCCAACTTATTTTTTTTAAATACCTGCATTTTTTATTTCAGGTTTTGAAAGAACTCGGTCTCCTGAGTACAATGATATGCCACACTTGATACTTTTTTTGTTTTGGGTACCTTAACAATAGCAAAACTATTTAATTATTATTTAAAATAATTTCAAGTCCGACTCTGGTTTTTTAATTTTTTTGTCTGATTATATTCATCGCAACAATATTGATCAGCGTAATTAACACTGAATAAGAAAAATCGAGCCATTTGAAAGATTCAAATAAATAATGTCCAGGTCAGCAATTTTTATTTAATTTTTTTAAAATTATTTCTTTTTTTTTCTTGATTCTTTTTATTGTAAATTTGAAATCTCAATGTCTAATCTAATCTAATAATGTGCATAATATTAATCGTAGTAATTATAAAAAAATCAATTTTTACAAACTAGTTTCTAATGCTCTACATCTTCAAAAGGGTTACCACATTCCCTAATGCACAAATTTATTTTTCGTTCAATCTTATTTATAGCTCTATGAACATATCTTCTTCTTATACTTCCGAATACATTTTGTACTGTTTATTGTCCCCCCCGCCCGTCTCTTGGTGAATATATGATATAATTATCATATTTATATTATTTATTTTATATTATTTTTTATTATTTTGTTGCGTTTGGTTTGGTTTGGTTTGCAAAAAAAATGCAGGCCCGTATTTAAAAAAAAATAGTTGGTCTCTGTATCTCACAAATTATCAGTTAATTTGAAAATCTAAAAACACTATGAGATAGCTCTAATAAAGTGGCTATGAGAATGTGCAATTAGTTTTTTGATTTTCTAAAAAGTAGCGACAGGAAAAAATATATTTTTAAAAAAAAAATCCGTTTTTCCAAAAAACTCAGCAATCCTTGAAATTTTTGAAACTTTCTTGATGGAGTCTTGGTGAACATATCAAAGTTCAACTTTGCCCCAATTTAACCATATTCGTATCTATTACGGGTACCGAGATACCAATGCTCGTACCTCGAATTTGTAGCACCCTGTATATTGTAATTTTAATATTTTTTAAGAAAGGCTGAAAATAGATATTAATATCTCTGAAACTATCGAAATAGATTTACTCATATCTTAGGATTATGTAAAATGATCTGAAAGGAAGCTAATACCAATTAGATACAGGGTGTTCCGTTAAAAAAATCGTCCCGATCCACTCACACTTTTTTGAGCCACCCTATAAAATGTAAAATATTTTCCTGAAATACATCCTCGTACATACATTAGGTTTGCACTCAGAAAATTCTCAAGTTTTTTATTCTAGGACCTAAAGATACCCGACGCACTATTGCCGAACTCTGTATAAATAAAAATATAAAGTATAGTAAAATAAAACACTAATTCCCTACAAAACAAGAAACCAGATAACACAAACAAAAACAAGATATTGTATATATAAGGCTATTTTAATTTTTCTGTACTTCATAATTAAGATATTTATCTTAAAATCCTTCTCTTTTATAGTGGATTGAAACATACTTTGCCACACTAGTTTATGGATGTACAGTAACAGTGGACACGTTTTTCGTCATATCAGGATCGTTATTGAGTTACAACTTCCTTAATATTTGCTCAGATGGACGGAAATTCAACATGCCTATTTTCTACCTACATCGTTTCTTTAGATTGTTTATGCCTCTGGCCTTCACCGTTGCCACATGCGCTACAGTGCTGAAACATGCTGGTAGCGGACCACTTTTTAATGATTTTATAACTGGCTACCAAAAGCCTTGCCAACTGTTTTGGTGGAGTGCCATTTTGACCATACAGCCATTTGTTAATCCATCATTCCTGGTAAATATTTTTAAGATTAGTTAAGCTTAATATTTAATTTAAGGCTTATTATACCATTTAAGGGTGTAGAGGGTGAGTCTATGATAGAGTAAAATGCATTTTCTCATTTGTTTCGCGATTTATATAAAATGTGAAATAGGAAAGTTATAAGGAAGGTTTAGGTTATTAATTTGGTTATCTTTTTTTAACGCGACACCCTATTTTTAATTTATTTTTAGATTCTGCGTAAAATGTCTGCAGGGTGTTCCAAATTTATTTATGAATTTCAACTATTTAAAATTAAAAATCTCAAATTTTTTTAAATGGGACGCTCTATACAGGGTGGTCCGAATTGTATTCCGGAAACTTAGGCAGCATATTCTACAGCTAACAATAAGTGAAAAGGTTCGTATAAATGAATGTCCTAAATGCTTAGTTTCGGAGATACAGGGTGTAGAAATTTCATTTTTATTTTGATATATTCCAAATAATTTCTGAAGTAAAGTCAATATTTGGATAGTCTAAAAATTGGTGTCTGGGAGTTTTTTGACATGATAAATTTGATTTTGATATCAATATGACTTCTAATTGTAGGGGGCACCACCTACATGTGTTTTAACTGTTTTGAAGAGTAATAACTTTTCTTTTTACGTAAAAAATGTCTCCTGGTAGAAATCGCTACGATAAACCATTTTCGAAATATTTAGAATAGAATTAGCCAATACATATCATTATTGATAAAAATTAACATGTTGAGTAGATAGTTATTTGACTGAAATAATAAATATGGGAAATTTTTATTTTTTTTAAATTAATCATAATTTTTTCTGCGAAAAAATACTGATAAAACAGTTTCTGTTGAACTTCTGGCACAAAAACATTCCAAGTTTATGATTTCAGTCTAATAACTATTTAGTCAACATGTTTAATTTATGTCAATGATTACAGGTATCTATAATTTCGGTTCCAAATATCTCGAGAACCACTATTTGTAGAGATTTTTATCAAGGGACCTTTTTTTACGTAAAAAACGTAGTAAATGTATATTTTTTACTCAGTAGTTTTATACAGGCACGGGCGAAACATTTTTACACTTCAAAACAGTTAAAAAATATGTATGTGGCGCCCTCTACAAATAGGAGTCACATTGACATCGAAATGGAATTTCTCATGTTAAAAAAAGCCCAGATACTAATTTTCATCCAAATACCAAATTTAGTTTAGAAATTATTAAGAAAAAATCGAAATAAAAATGAAACTTCTTCACCCAGTATCTACGAAACTAAGCATTTTGCGAACATACATTTATACGAAATTTTTTACTTATTTTTATGTTAAGTATATGCTGCCGAAGTTTCCGAAATACAGTTCGGACTACCCTGTATATTATCATTTTTTCTGATAGATTTTACAAAATTATTCAACTTTTATAGAGTATATCATATACATACCTATCTTTGTCAGTTTGCGACAAACAAGACAACTGGCCGTTGGCTCATGGATAGTTTTTTAACATACACAAGCTTTCAGTGTTGATTTATTGAGTTATATACCGTATGATCGAAAAAATAAACAAACCTAACCTAACAGCGTCAAAGGCTTTGGGGAATGACAATCAATGACACTTTTAACAAGGTCAATTTCTAGACATCATCACAACCACTATATAAAAACTGGCAGTAAGCGCCATTAAATAAGAAAAAGTACAAACCACGTAATAACATATGAGGCTTCACCTCGCCAAAAATATCATTGATTGCCATTTTCCAGCCATCTTTCACGCCATTATTTTCGATCATATGGTGTTTCACACATCGCTCACTACAAATTTTATTTTCAGTGTATCATTCCAACTTGGTCCTTGGCAGTAGATACCTTTTGGTATAGTATTTCGCCTATCATACTGTTATCACTACTAAGGAAACCTAAGATAGGCCTTGCAGTGCTTTTTGCAGCTAATGCATTTACTGTAGGAATGAGTCTATACATCGGCTGGGCAGGAAAAATAACTGGTTTTATTCCGGTGTCGTAAGTACATATTCAATAATTTAAAATTGTTAAGTTAAAAATACTATAAGACTCTAAAAACCCTGCTGGTTGATGGGTCTAAAATGTATAACTCTTTCTCCCTTATACTATACAGGGTGTCCCAGAAACAAGTGTAAGTATTTTAACTGGTAGTATATTTCGGCCTCAGAAACACGCATATGAGTTTTTTTTGCGAAAAAAAATTGAAAATTTTGAATTTTTAGTTAAAAAACATAATTTCTTGATAATATGGTAATATAGGTAGTAGATTAAATTTACAGAGTATTGAAGTCATGGTTACAAAATCCCGACTAAGATGGGCTGGTCACGTATGCAGAATGCAAGAAAACCGCATACCAAAATCACTGCTTTACGGTGAGCTTGTAGACGGTAAGAGGAGGCCAGGTGGACAACTCAAAAGGTACAAGGACATTTTCCACGAAAACTTAAAGGGGATTAATGTGCAGAATGAGTGGGAAGTAGAAGCTCACAATAGAACTCAATGGAGAAGAATTGTAAACTCAGTTAACAGCGAGAACCAAAAAGTTAAGAGGCAACAAAGCAATGAGATTTTTGAATGTCCGGAGTGCGGTAGACAAATAACATCACGTATTGGGCTTTTCAGTCACAGAAAGGCTCATGAAAGAAAACGCCTTGCGTGACCATCTTCTGATGCGTGTCAAATACTCGTCAGCGAGTAATGGCAGTATGTAAGTATGTATGTATGTATACCACCCCTTAAAATACTTGCGCTTATTTCTGGGACAAAGGCTGTATATACTCTGTTTTACGACTCACGTAAAATTTCGATAGACGATGACAGAAAAAAGGCAGATGACGTACATACCAATCCATATATTACGCTAAAAAATTTCTAATATTTTTTACATTTATATTATTAATATTTTTTTACATTACTTTTCTTTCTTTGTTAAGTACATGTTATTTTACTGAACCTAGGTATTGACTGTACTGTTCGTAAATACGAAAATTGGTACACAAAGCCAGACCTTGCCGACCCTGTATAAATTGTGGTACTAATTACTTCAGTTATCGTACTACAAGATGGACAACACAGAATGTATGAGAAGCTCTCGAAATATTCCAGTGCCTGTCAGTAAATAAGCTGTAGGTAATTTTTTTGTGTGGTGATACTTAATCGATATGTGAACAAAAAAAGATTTTCTACAATCATGACTTGAGCACAAAATCGAAACTTGCAGTGTACCGAGCAATAATAATCCCCACCATGTTATATGGAAGCGAAATCTGGGTGCCGCCGCGCCGTACCGCCGACACTTAAAAGCATTAAACAAGTTGCAACAGAGACACATTAGACAACTCGTAAGACTCAAATTGTTTCTACAATCATGTCTCACACGTTTCGGTCTTTGAAAAAGCTAGCTGCGAGAGCGTTATGAGTCATGATTACAAAATCCTGCTTAAGATGGGCTTGTCACATATGCAGAATGCAAGAAAACTGCCTACCAAAATATCTGCTTTATGGTGAGCAGAATAGGTGGAAAGAAGCAGCACACAATAGAACGCAGTAGACAACAATTGTAAACTCAGTTAACAGCGACAACCAAAAAACAAGAAGGCAACAAAGCAATGAGATTTTTGAATGTCCGAAGTGCGGAAGAGAGATTACATCACGTATTGGGCTTTTCAGTCACAGAAAATATACCTGGATGAAAGAAAAAGCTTTGCATAACCATCTTCTGATGCGTGTCAAATACGCGTTAGCGAGTAATGGCAGTAGTAGTATGTGAACAAAAATATAGAGAAAAAATTACAACTATTAAATTAATTGGTCTCATCATTCCGGATCATTCGCTCGATCAGTCACTCGTATCGTAAAATTGATAAAAAAAATATCTCACTTCAAAAACTCACCATTACTATTAGACTAGTTTAATTTAATAAAAATCAAATCATTTTTTAGGAAGAAGATATTTGGAACAGACTATTTTTTATATTATTATATTCAGCCCGTATGCAGAGGATCGCCTTATCTGCTTGGTTTAGCATTTGGTTACTTACTATTCAAAACAAAAGATCGAAAAATTAGACTTAACCTATTTGCGAGAACTGTGGCCTGGACTCTGACTTCGTTTTGTATGCCATCGGTTGTTTTAATAAATCGTTTAGCTCACCTGGAAAATTATGAATACAACCGACTGTTCTCGACTTTGTTTTTACCATTTCATCGCTTGATATGGAGTCTGTGTGTAATGTGGATTATTTGGTCTTGTCATAACGGATACGGAGGTATTTTATACCGGCTGCTTCTCAAAGTAAACAGTGTTAGTTTATGATATAAATCACGATTTATCGACGTATACAATAATTAGTTCCGGTCTCTTACTGTTTCACAGGAAATTATTGCAACTATTGATTTTTAAATGGTACCCTGGTTATTTTATTATTTTGACAGAAAATTACATTTTGAATAGAATAATATATCATATGTCAACTTTTGACTAATTTCAATCTCGAGTTCAATGGCTGCGTTCGTAACGACAATTTGACTTTAAAAACTAAGTATATGGTATCGAATGAATTTCATATAAATATGTAAAAAATGTCTACAGCATATTTATATGATATGCTTTTTCCAAATATGCTAATGAGCCATCCTCGTTCCATTCATAAAAATTGAGTTATGATTAAAAATATGATTTCGGCAACGTTTATCAGGCCAAGAAAAGCCGCAAAATTTTTTTTTGACACAGCAATGGCACTCTACAGTATATCCCTGGCTTATCTTTACAAGAGGAAAAACTTTTTTAGTATTGACATTTTGAGAAAAATACATTATTCATAATAATTTTAACTTGTTTACTAAATTGTATGTTTTAGATAAAATTAAATAAAAAAACATGAAAATGTAGTTGAATAATTTTTCTAAAAATTAAAAGGCGTTTCTATGGTAATATAATTTCCATTTCATTCTTTGATAGATCGCTATAATTAGTTTTTATTAACGTCATATTTTTTTATGTTAAAGTATCAAATCTTCCTATAACTATTATCACCCTGTCTGTAGCATTGAAATAAATAAATTCCCAACTTCTTTAACATTTTAGAACAATACAAAATATGAGGTTAATTAAAATTCTGTCAATAATAATCATAGATAAATGCAACAAGTTTAGATTGGAAAGTGCCCATAAGGACAATGTAAACACTATTTGGCGCTATTCTTGCAACGGTCGCGACCCAAAACTTTTGAAAATTTCGGAGCGGTTCGGCTTTTTCCGGAATTATATCGCCAAATATTGTTTATTCAAATGTATTATTATTTTTGTTTAATTTTATAAATATAAGACATTGTGTTGCATACAAGAAACTTTATTTTATATAAGGACGCATGCATGAAATACCTATGAAACATTGGAAACCGACGTTATGCCACGATCCACGATGTGGTTTTTGCAGTTCACAGTTCACAGCACAGTTTTTTAAGTTTTTAATGCCACTTTTTCACAATTATCACCGGTTGGAGTAAATAAAACTTGAATTAAACTCACAAGATAGCAATTATTACTTTGAAATTGGACGCTATAACTTTTCGGAATTTCTTTGATGAGAGCGGATGGATTGGATGTTGAAAGATTATTATGATTTTTGAAGATTGACATCATCTGACTTTGACAAGAGAAAATTATTGCTGTTTTTGTTTGCCGTTGTTCTTAGCGACCGCTATAGCAGCGCCAGATCGCGTATAACGGTCGCGACCCAAAATAATTTCGCGACCTAAATTTTTTACTGGCTTTCCAATCTAAACTAGTTGCATTTATCTATGATAATAATCTATCAAAGAACGAAAAAGAACTTATATTACCATAGAAACGCGTTTTGAGTTTTAGGACCTAGAAAAAATTCTACTACATTTTCGTGTTTTTTTATTTTCTTTAAAACGGTATGGAAATTTGGAAAAGTATAAACGGGATTAAACCATTTTAGAACAAGCAAACATTTTTTATGAAGAATACATTTTTCTCAAAATCGCAATAATAAAAAAGTATTTCCTCTTTTAAAGACAATCCGGGGACATACTGTAAATTAAATATTATTTTTTAAGTACAATTGTCAAAAGTTGATATATTTTTTCGGAATGTCATTTTCTATCAAATAGAGTAAAAAATACCTAGGATACCATTTAAAAATCGAAAAAATAAATAAACCTAACCTAACAGCGTCAAAGGCTTTGGGGAATGACAATCAATGACACTTTTAACAAGGTCAATTTCTAGACGTCATCACAACCAGTATATAAAAACTGGCAGTAAGCGCCATTAAATAAGGAAAAGTACAAACCACGTAATAACATATGAGGCTTGACCTCGCCAAAAATATCATTGATTGCCATTTTCCAGCCATCTTTCACGGCATTTTTTTTCGATCGTATGGTGTTTCACACATCGCTCACTACAAATTTTATTTTCAGTGTATTATTCCAACTTGGCAGTAGATACCTTTTGGTATAGTATTTCGCCTATCATACTGTTATCACTATTAAACATTTAAAAATCAAAAGTTGTAGTCATTATCGGTAAAACGGGAAGTGACCGAAACTAATTGCCTGTTAATCTGATTTATGTCACATACAAAAACACTAAATCACGTTTTTTTATCTGAAAAAATAAAAAAAGTTACGTTACTTTTGAAATACATCCAGTATACAAAAATGTAAAATTTTTAAATTACTCTGAGAAATTACATAAATTTTCGGTTATATTAACAGGTCATTTTAATAATATCAGAAATTTAACTTAGTTTAATAAAGTAAATAATAAATATTTTGTTAATATTTTACAACTGAGGGGCTTAGAATAAAAGGGATACAACTGACTTTTTGTTCTAAATGGACTTAAGTACAGATTTAGATACTTTATACAGGGTGTTCCAGGCTGAGCGTGCATTAGAAGTTTCTAGAGAACTACAATATCTAGATCAGGGATTTTTTGCACATCATTGTTTTACAACGTGATCTATCGATTTAAAATATTTTCAATATGGCGGCTCTCCGGAAATACCGGAAATTGACAACAACTTTCTTATTTTAAATGGGTTTTTTATAACATAGTTAAATTCTCTGTAAAATTTTATGAATTTTGATATTAAACACTCTATACCTAACATTAACCGTTTTCGAGAAAAAAAATATTTAAAATTTTTAGACGAAAAACACTACTTGTCAAAAAAATGTATATAGCCTAAACGTCAAATTCAGTGATTACCACAACCACTGTGACATAAATAGAAGACAGGTGACTATGTATTTCAAAAATTAAATTGTTCGAATGTCATATAATAATGGCGGTGGCTGTCATGGAACTGAGCTATTAAAAAATTATCATAAATCATTTTTTTCAAATTACTGAAAAATGTTTTTCAATTCGTTACTTTTTGACTATAATGTTCCTATACCTAAAATAGATTGTTTTTAAGTTATTTAAGATTTAGTTTTAAAACGCATATTTTTCTTGATTTCATCTAGCTTTCTTTGACATTAAGTGTCAAACAATCAGACAATTTATTTCCATCTGTTAGAAAACTAATTATTTGAATTTCTTATATTATAAATACTGCCTGCTGAAGAGTTTAAAAAGTGCATTTATAAAAATATAGTGATATCCTAGTAGTTGATATTATTAATAATATTCCGTATGATCGAAAAAAAAACAACGCAAAGATGGCTTGGAAATGATGATCGAATTTTTACCAAGAATTTAAGTATGTAATAAAAAATAGGGGCACCCATTTAAGATGAGAAAGTTGCTGTCAGCTTCCGATATTTGCGGAAGTGCTGCCATATTGAAAATATATTTAATCGATAGATGTCGTTGTCAAACAATGATGTGTAAAACATTTCCGATCTTGATATTGTAGTTCTTTAGATACTTCTAATGCACGCTCAGCCTGGGACACCCTGTATATAAATTTATTTAGTATAAAAAAATTAGGTAAATTTACACTCTACTCTAATTAGTGTCAGTGTAGAATTTACTTAATTTCATTTTATATCAAATAATTGCTACCTAAAGTATCTAAATCTATATTTAGAAAAAAAACACTTGCCTACCTACACTACACAGACATAACCAGATTTTTTATACAATCTGACTAAATTGACCCAACCTTCCAACTGAATTGGATCGTGTGTAGTCGGCTACCTAATTCATATTATATTGACTTTATATTTTTTAGGTATTGTCGACGCCATATTGTCCCATCACAATTTCAAGTTTCTTGGAAAACTTGGCTATAATATGTTTCTTTTTCATTATGTTTTTCAAGGCTTAATGCAATTTTCACAAAAAGTACCGGGATATTTTTCGAATGTTTTAGTTGTAAGTTTGAATATCATAGACAAACTTATTGAAAACAATGTGATTTAATTTTTGATTTTTTAGCTTTACATGGCAATTTCGGATATTGTATTGTCGGTACTAATATCTATACCTCTAGTTGTTTTATTCGAATACCCATTTATGAGAGCGTTTGGATTATTAATCAAACCAAAGGGTTAGATAAGTATACTTTTTTGAATTTTATACAGACAGCCAAAGAATTTGCGTTAAATGAGAAAAAGTTTATATTATTGAATGTGTCTCACTCATCTGTCACTTTTGTTAAATAAAAAGAAAAAAATGTATAGATTAGAGTTGTATGAGACTTGTATGAGATTTTATGTGAAATAACTCTATCAAGCTCAACAATAGATAAATCCCATTTACACATGCTATTTGCTTTTACATAATGTTTGTATAAACAGGGTGTCCCATTTTAATTGAAATCGTACGGTATCTCCGTTATTAGTGAAGATCAGAAGATGTGGTTTGCCCAAGCCTGTCCCACTTTTTTATTAAACGGAAGATGCTGTAAACAAAATTTTCAAAGCCATCTTCGTTGGTGATCTACAGGGTCTTTTTCAAAATTTTGCAATTTCGGACACCTCGCCTATTTTTGTTATTGTGAGAGATATTTAGAAAGTGATTTTTAGGAAAAAAATAATCTAGAAGCTATGAAATAAAGTCACGTTTTCTCAATGGAAAACCCTGTATATTTATAAATTATATACGATCTGGCTGGCTATGAGCTTCTGAATAATATCATTATATATTTATTTTCTGTATCTATTTATTGCAATATTTAACAGATATCATTTTCTTATTTGTAGGCCGTGATAGAAAATAAATAAATGAAAACGCTATTTACTAAAATATTCATACACATCTTAAAATTCTATTTGGGACTAAATATACTTAAAAGTACCATATAAACTTTTTTAGGAACTGAATAATAATAGAAGTTCTAATATTTTTGGCAGTCTTGGTATAAAATGATTTAGCAAATTAATTTTACTAAACTTTTTATTTTAGTTAACAACACTGTGAAGATCAAACCTTTCAAAAATGCTTCATAGACGATATTAAGCAAATACGTTTCTTTTCTACTTGTTATCTGCATTATTATTGCACTATATAATTTTGAAAAATATTTAAACTTAATTATTATAGTTATTTAATTTGAATATAATATATCAGCATAATTTGGGGATGTTTTATTTACATTTACTTATAGTTTACATCTGCCTAGTAGTAATAAGAATAACAATGAAATTATGAGACTGTTTAGAAGATAAATGGATTATGAAAACACACTATCTGCATCATTTCTACGTTTTTATAAGAACCGTTGAAAACCAGAGTGATCTAAATCAAAAAATGTAGTTTTGAGATATGTGGCTTCAAAGTTAACGGCTTACTGTAAAATACTCACATAACATATTAACATTAAAATTTTTGGTATTCTAACAAAATGAGACCAACTTAAATTTTCGCATATAAGTAGATGCTATTTTTTAATCAGTTTATTTTCTATTTTTTAATTTTTTGACTTGGACCAATCTGGCTTTCAATTGATTGAGACTATTAGTGCATATTCCAGAATGACTGAGATAGTTGTTAGATATTTTTTGCCCCCATTACAGGCAACCAAAATACATAAGACAGGTAATTGAATATGTTTAGTCTACCTCTGCCTTATTTGCCAGCTGGATAATTATATTCTCAATATCCAAATAGAAATTCTATCTAATCGGTCAGACATTTTAAAATGTAACCATTCATTTCAAGCGAAGACACTTTCCGGGACAAAACGTTTCACTATCATTATTATTAAAAATTAATTTTTGACGAGCTACTGCCTTATCCCATCAACTTTTTCAAGCAAAAGTAGTTATGTTAATCACAATGCGCCGTAAGAAATATACTAACAAAATGCCAGAGTGGTTCACATGTGGTCTGACTTGTAACACTCTGGCTCTCTGATGTAACTCGTTGCGTCTTTACGGTTACAATTTTGAGTGAGATATATGAAAGTTTCTAGTAAACAGTAACAGTTTTAAAACTTCGTGAGTAGATAAAAAACTACATCAAGAGTCGTAATATATTGAAATTAGAAAAATCCAAAAAAATGATTTAGACCCATCTGGTTTTAAACGGCTATTACTCATTATTAATGAGTTGAATTATAATAATCATTTTTGTTGTCTAAATCTAAAGAAAAAACCAACGATTCGGGAAATAAAATTAATTAGCCTAAGAAACTTTTTTGACCCAAATTGGACGCTTTTAAATAGAAACATCATTTTTTACACGAGATAGACGATAACTAATATCGGTGTTTAAAGTTTAATTTCATCATTCAAAAACGAAGGTAAAAACCGCACATCGATATCAGTTACCGTTTCAGAGTTACGAAATTTGGTTCAAAAATGTGTATTTTTAACAAATCGCTGTAACATTTTTGGTATAAAAAATATTGTATTTTTAGGAAAACATTTCCAAATCACCTTTTTACTTAGATTTTAATGGTTTAAGTATATTTTTATTAGTAATTAGAGAACTTCTCAAAAAAGGAGAACTTCAAAAAAACTTTAAATTCGTTTTTCTCAAAACTATGTTTTGTGACTTAATATAGTTTGCTTCTGGGATACACATATAAAAACATACCATAGGCTATAAATAAGTTTACATCAGAAAAGTAGTATATATGTTATTTTATTGGAAGTAAAATTGATACTTTTTGGGGCGAGACTGTACGTAAATTATTTAAATAACGTAAATATTTATTTCTCAAGAATGGTGAATTCGAATCTGTATGAAAAAAGGAGGCATATATTTAACATAAGAAAGTTGCTGTCAACTTCGGAAATATTTTTATTCCAGAAATCTCATTGTTCATTGAGAATTGATGTCCAAAAAAGCTCGGACATATTTTAGTTCTCTAGAAACACAGATAGATGGATATAGATTAGAATAATACAATTATTTATTTGGATTTAAAATATGTTAAATCAATTACTTATTACAGTTCCTAAGAAAAAGATAAATTATTTCGGTTATACTTTCCAACTTCATTTTTTTTTATTAGAAAGGAAACTGACAAAATTAGAATAGCAGAAATCTACCCTTATTCTTTATAAATCTTGTTAAAATTAACATTATTTGTTATTGGATGGGGAATGCTTTTCATCACACTTTTCTCGTCCGACTGCGTAGAATAAGTGCTTGAGAAAATTGCAAGGTTTCAAAAACTTTAATTGCATGCAGAGGAAATTCACTGAACCAATATAACTTTGCTGTGCTTTTTCACCACAGAACGGCATAAGTAGAAGGGAATTGTTACCCTTTATTTGGAAGAAGCTATATTAAATACAGCGCTATTTTATGTTTCTTTTATTTTATATGTTACTGCACCTATTTCAAGCGATATTGCTTTTTGACTTTCTAAAGAATTTATGTTTGAAATATGGTTTATTTTTTTTATTTTTTTTAAACTAAGTAAATGAGAAAGCGTACTAAATGATGAAAAGGTAGAACTTATTTTAGTTAATGAATTATGATACTACCACGTGATTCGTTCCTTTAAATAATAGCTAATTGTTTAACATTAATAAATAATAATAGTAGCTAATAATAAGCCAATTCAACTATTAATTAGTGTATACAGGGTGGCCCATTAGTGCGAGAAATTCCAATATCTTCCTCGTTGTCGAAGATATGAAACAAAGTTTTATACAGATTGTGATATTGCATTGGATAAAAGTCTGCATATAGTACGCTATTTTTTCAGTACTTTCCGGTGCGGTGTTGCCATTCTATTTCATATTTACTTTTGATAGAAACATTATATCCGAAAAGTGGTTAAAAACTAGAGTATATTTAACTTAATTAATAATTAGCTTTATTTTCCTAAACACCAAGGATAACAGAATAATCCAGCGAAGAAAAAATACATTATCTTATACAGGGTAATTTTTTATGGTGTCGCCAACATCTCAGTATTTAAAATGCTATACATCATTTTTTTTAATTCAACACATTGTATATTATTTTTCTTTGATGCTGAACTAAAAAGTGGAAATATTTTGTATTTAAATTGTCCTTACATTTTCCACAGATTCGCAGATATTCGCGGTATTATATCACAGTAAATTCTTCCAACAGAGTTCTTCAACAGTAAATTTTTATAAAAGCCACCTAATATTTGTCTGGTATTTTACCATTGAAACCCCCATATGAAATATAAACAGCAAATATCTGTAAAGCCGCTAAAAATTTGGCCAACCCAACCAACACTCTAAATTCAAAAAATGTGTACATTTTAATTCTGCATCTAAACGAAAAATAATATACAGGGTGTTGCATTTAAAAACTTGAGATCTAGCTTTGTAAATTTTCCGATTTTGGCGACGCCATAAAAGATACCTTGTATAGGAAAATGTAAATTTTCCTATACAATGTAAAAAATGAATTTATCCTGTTCATGGATTTATTCTGTTATCCTTGATGTTTAGGAAAATATAGCTCAGTATTAATAAAGTTATATTCACTATAGTTTTCCACTTTAGTTAGTATAGTATAACCACTTTTCCTGTATAGTGGTTTTAAACAAAGTTTTGGTAGATAAGAAATAGGATAGCAACACCGCATAAAGTGCTTCAAATAAAAATTGTGTAATATAGGAAGAATTTTAATGCTGAATCCAATTATCTACAAAAAATGAGAACAACGACGATATTGGACTTTGCACTAATGGGCCACCCTCTATATATATTTTTTTTCGTATCAAACGCACTGCATATATCAATAAATATATAAAAATAAATATCTTTAGTAATATTAAAATAATAAAAAAAACTAGACAAAATGTACAGAGAAAGACAATCGTAAAGATATGTGTAATTCAAGACAGTTGGAGTAATATTTTTGTATACTCTTCTTTGTTTTTTGCCCTTTTTGGTGTTTCGTTGTTGACCCGCTGACGCCATTTTCTCGTTTTTCATAGGAAAACAATTACATAAAAGCCATAAAATTGAATTTAATAATCACTGAACTACTTGAATTATCGGTGAACTACGTAAATAAATTACTGATATTACATACAGAAATTGATAGAATACTTTATCAACCAATCCATTAGAAAGATTTTAAAATAATTTGATTGAATAATTTTGTATTAATTTAAAAAAAAACTGTTGTTTGTGTGTGAGTATCGTGCATCGTTTTGGCTAATATCAATTTAAAACCGTAACTGTTGCACGGTTGCCAAAATACAAATCGATAAAAAATGTTCGGAGGTACGTACTTCAATACCCGTTTGTTATAAATTCAAATTGAGAGGTCAAATTGTGCGGTATAAAATCGTAGAAAAAAACCTGCCGGGAAATCGGATCTCGCTTGGATGTTTTCGAAACGAAATATTAGGAACATTTTGTTAGAAATTATTTCTACCCTGCATTTCATAGAACGAGCAAATCAACTGCACTGAAAAGTGGAAATGCATGAAAAACTGGAAAATTACAAATATCTAACAAAACACATCATATCTCTTTATTTTAGCCCTCGAGCGGGCGCGCCGGAATTTTGTGCCGCAATTTTACTAATTTCAATAAAACATAATAATATCCATTGGACGTAGATTTGTGGTGCCATTAAATATTCTTATTTAGGAATATTTGACACCCTTGGTCGTAGTAGTTGCGTATCCAGCGATTTTCCTTCAGTAGCAATTCTGTCGTAAACCTGACAACTACAGAAATTGTGGTACTCCCTACACGCTCGGTTATAAGAACTTTAATTAAATTAGAGATAATTTTTATTAAAAGGTGCCCGGTGGCGGAGAGGTACAGCTCTCGTCTACCAATTCAAAGGTTGTGAGCAGCCGACTATTTTTAATAAAATAAAAATAGTTTGGGTACCTAGGTCTAGTCAGCCTTAAATTGGTACTTGGGATTTACAATCCTGAGGTAATAATAGGCGGTTGAAGCGTAATGCTAGCCAGTAATGCTAGCCTTCCTGGTATACCGAACGGTTCTAGTATGGCAAGCTGTACCTTGCTACTCTCAATGCGTTAAACGCTATATACGGGAGCTCTTATTATTATTATTAATTAGAGATAATAAGAA